TAAATATCCCCTAAAAAGCCTTTCAAAAAATGCAGTAACATCAATTATCCTATTTTATTTAATTTTTTCATTATTGTCTCTGTGATGTCTCTGCTGTAGCTACCGGTGTCTGTCGGCCTGTTGCTTCCTCATCTCTCGAAAGGTCCCCTCAATCTCTTTCTCTTTCTCTCTCAGTGAGTCTCTGAGCGCCTGGGCAGTTAGTTCCAGCTCTGCCATCCTCACCTGTTCTGTCATAGTGGACCTGCTGGGTGGGAAAGACACAGTGAGGTCATGATGAGACTCTCAGAGGTTTTTAGTGCAGATGTTTTCGTTGTCGCTTATTAACGTGCGTCATGTGATTTACTTCAGCTACGCAAGAGTGTGGTCAGTCATGTCACGCTAAAGGATGATCTGCTGTAGCTAATGGATCATTTGGTCATTTAGCACATCACACATGGGACACTTACAATCTCTCCATCTCTGCCCTGGTGTCTTCCAGTGTAGGGCCATATCGAGGTGGTGCAGTCTGGGCTGCCCTCCTCATTCCACCGTCTCCATCCAGATTTTTACCTAACAACACGAAGAGCAGGGAAGGAAAATAAAGAGATTTAAGAGGGAATCACTGCGGCCTCTATTCTTGTTGTTGTTGCTGTTGCTCACACCTTTGCTGAATTTGTAGGGTGTGCGAGCTCCCAGGTCCATAATGTGCTGCTTGGCCAGGCTGAGTTTGTTCTGCAGCACTCCTTTCTGGCTCTCCAGCATTGCCACTCGGGTTTCCAGCTCCTGTATTGTGTCCTCCATGTCCCTCTCCTTAACACCACTGGAGCCAGGACTGGTCTGACGAAGACGCATTAGCCTAGCAGACATACTGAGGCAAAGCAGAGAGGTTTAATTGGCCACAGTTTGCATTAGCTGACAGGTGTTCAGTAAGTGCCTTTAAAGAGTGCAAAAGGCACTCCTTAATCTCTCTTTGAGGTTTCAGTATTACTTTCATCTTATTGCCAGTAAATAAATTTTCATTAATATGCTCCACGTTGTTCAAATGTATGGAATCAGGTACAAAAAGTGTTTTTTGTGTGTGTGTTACCTGCGTAGTCTCTGGTCCTGGGTGCGTGTGTGTTGTTTTAGCACACTGTTCTCCTCCTGCAGTCGGAGGCACATGTCCTCCAGGTGCTCTCTGGGAAATCGAAAAAGGCGCTGAGGGTCTGCTGGACAGGGAGATGGAGACACAGAGAAAGCACACACAGACATGAAAACTGAAGTTGTGCGACTTCCATACAGACTATAAAAACCTGAAGTGCTTTTACCTTTTGTCCTCATGACATGATGCTTCTTCCAGGACTTGACATCCCGTAGAGTATCTGAGAAGATGGCAATGAGGCGATATTTGCAGAGTTATTCCTAATGACAGTTTATTTATTGCCTAAACCCTGCTCATAATTAATAAACTGAGACTTAATGCAAAGCTAAATTGTAACTTTCATTGGCATTATCTCTTTGATGCTTGTACTTCAAGGTTTTGGTTTATTTTCTTCAAGTTGTGTTTTTAAGGACAGACAAAAACACATATCAGTACAAACCAACCTGGGACAGTTGGCATCAGTCCCCCTCTCATCAGGCCCACATCCCTCACTGGGAGGTCCCCAGCTGTCTCATCCACCACCAGCGACATTACACCGCTCTTCACAGACTCATCTTCTCAGAAACCTTCAGCCTTACAAAACCTGAATTTGGTTCAAATGAGGTTGAATTGCTGAAGACGAAATACCTTAATACTGCAAATATGACATGTTTTAAAGTTTCACTATGGTAGCTACACTAAACGGCTTACAACAATTAAAAACAGAGAGAGAGAATAATTGTAGGGTCTCTCTACAGTCTAACTGTTTTTAAAGATATTCAAAAGTGACTACTTTAAACTGTAATGTGCTCAATGCCCAGAAAAGCTAACAGTTTTTTTAAAGAATTCAGACTTCAACACTGAAAGCTTTCCTAATAAGAGCTATTTAACTCACCGTGTGAGAATTGTGTGGTGTTTCCTACTTGAGCCTGGTGTCCAGCACAACCAGGCAGGATTTATGTCTGTCCTTCCTGTCCAGGTTTAATCCCTCTTAAGACTTTCTTCTTTCGTTCCTTCCCAACCTCTGTTA